GCCATACCTGCGGACTATGGATCTTTCTCTGGGCCTAGAGTCTTGGTGGGCAGCGGGTGACGCCACTGTGCAAACTCCTGAAGAAGGTGGGGGTGACAAGAGGTCAGATCGCCAGATGCCACTTTACACTTCAGCCACTGTAAAGGGCAAAGTGGGCACAAGGCCCAGGCCCTTGTTACTCTTGCTCTGTGTCTCTGCCCCCGCCCGATGCCTTGCTCAGTCCTTCATTGGCTCTAGCAAATACCTGAGGGAAAATTCAAAGGGAGGACGGGTCTATTTTGACTCAGTGCCACAGAGGTCATAGTCATTGTCACGGAGCAGATCTGCACCTGTGATCTGAATGCTTCTCCAGCTCACGGGTGCTCTTTTGGGAGGCTGTGGAGCCCTTAGGAGGCGAGGCCTAGATGCCGGGAGCAGCTCACCAGGAACCAGCCTTTGAAAGTTATCCCTGCCTGTATTCTAGCCGACCTCCCTGTTTCTTGATCCACCATGCTGTGAACGGCTGCTATTATTCACACTCCTGCTGGCGTGAAATGAGCTTCCCTTCCATGGTAGATGGAACCATGGACCCAGATGAAGCTTCTTCAGTTGTCCCTGCCAGGTCACAGCAGTGCAAACCTAACTAACCAATTCAGCCTCATTGCCGTGGGCTGCGGTAAATAAGACAGCAAAGCAAAGCTGTTGACCTCACTGTAGCTGGGAAGCAGACAGAGAAGGAAGGGGAGGGGTCCAGAAGCATCTTTGAGGTCATGCAGCTAGTGACCCGCTTCCTTCCAGGTGGGCTCCACTCCCTATGTCTTCCCACCTCCCACTCCATTTCTTAGGTTCAAAGCCCCAAGATTCAGTCACTTCCCTGAATCCCATCAGCTAGCGACAAGACCTGTAATCCAGAGGCTTGTGGGAGATTTTCATATTCAAACATAAGGCATCTTTCAGAACGATCTCCTTTTGGGGGTTAGTTTTTCCAGAAATTGAACCTGTGTTCAAGTGGTTCGTTTTCTCTGGAAAGATGGTCTTCCAGGGCTCATTTGCTCACACGTGTTATGGCAAGTACCAGCTTTCTGCCAGGAAAGTCCAGAATGTCAGACAACCACCTGAGAGACCAGCAGGCCTGAGCGCTCTCCTTGGCAGGTGTTGAATATTGAGGCCCTTTGCCCAGGGCCACAGAGCTAGCTCTCAGCAAGGCCAGGCATGCGGATTGCCAGTCCCACGCCTCCCATCTTGTGGATCTTGTGGGAAACTACGTCCCTGTTCTGCGGGACCCTGGCTCTTTGGTCAGTGGAGGACAGGGAAATAAAGCGCCAGTTGGTTTGTGTTGGTCACAGCTGTTTCTTGGCTGTGCCTGCCTCTTGCCCCTGAGCCAGCAGCCCTGTCTGCCTGCTGGCCGGAGGGCCCGGTTGTGTGAGCCAAAGGCTCTCCTCTGCTCATTAGAACTAGGTGGAAGGGGTCCTACCCACCCCAGGAGAGAGCTTGCCAGAGCAGGCTGGGAGCAGCAGGGTTGGATTTGCTCTGCACATCCAGGGATTGAGAAATGATCTGCTCTTAAAAAGACAGGCTTGTTTCTAGTCTGTTCTATTTTCCTCTGAGGATGGGCATGTGCTCAGGTCTCTGACCTCTGGCCACTTCCAGCCTACCTTGTGCTGCTGTGAATAAGGTTTTATTGGAAGATGAATGGCCCAGTTACTGTTTTTAGTATTATCACTGGGTAACATCTATTTATTTGTCTGGAAACGGACCCTAGGTCCTCAAATATGTTAGACACGCACTTTGCTATTGAGCTACAATCTCAGCCTTCTCTAGATTTTGAGACAAAATCTAAGTGGCCCAGGCAGGTTTTGAACTTCTGGTCATCCTGCCACCACCTCCTAAGTTCTGGGACTAGTGGTTTCCCCATGCCCAGCCCACTTTTGCAGAATCATGGTAGAACTGAGTGGTCTTCCCAGAGACCGTCTGGCTCCTGGCCCTAAGGTAAACTTTCCCTGGCCCCTGGCTGGCAGAATAACCCTTCCTGGACTGTCTATACCAGGCAGAATGCCTTTTGTGGTTCACTGGAGGAGATTCACCTTCCTCAAAACACTTTCTCCTGAAGGAACCCAGAGGGAACCACAAATAAAGAGGGGGTGCAAGATGTGGGCACAGGCAGGTAAGCTCCCCATCCCACCCCACTCTGCACTGGGCCCTCCTTGTCTGCAGCGACTTAGAACCTTGGTGGTCCTCAGCATGTCTGCCCTTCCCATCTCCACGAGGGCAGTCCTGCCAGCCGCCAGTCTTGGTGAGAGGCTCTGTCCTCAGCCCCAGCCCTGTTTGTCCCTTATTCTAGCTGACCCAGTCTGAAGGTGATGGTGGGAAGTATCTCAGACTAAATGCAAGGGTTTTCTTGGTGTATCTAGCGTAGTGTATCATTCCGTTACCACCCTTGCATCCTGGGACCATGACTTCCCTGGTTCCCCCAGAGCTGAGTGAAGCTGAGAGCCAGGCTCGTGCTAGCTACATCATGGGAAGTGTTACCCGCCATGGTGGCTAGCCTTCAGTAAGCACTGGTAATTACCAGGCGTTATGGTGGCTACTGGTATCACCTCATTTAGTCATTACAGCAGCCAAGAAGGCAAGCATGTCACTTTATCCTGAGTTTTAGAAGCTCAAGAATAGACTTTGAGGGAATGGAGAGATGACTCAGTGGTTAAGAGCACTGGCTGCTCTTCCCGGGGGTCCCAGGTTTGCCTCCTAGCACCCGCATGGCAGCTCCCAACCATCTGTAACTCCGACAGCTCTTCTCTCCTCCTTGGGTACCAGGGACGCAAGCAATGCACAGACATACATGTAAGCAAATCACTCCAAAAAGGGACTGAAATAAAAATCAACTATGAAGAAGAGGTTTATTTAAGAAAGAAAGACTAGGCTCCAAAAGATTAAGTAACTTCGTTAAAGGGGAGGATCCTGGGTTTGTACCCAGGCCTCAGACCCCAGAGACCACTCTAGAACTCGCTCTTGAGTTACAGTAAAATTTGAAACAGCAGCTTCCCAGCTCTCCGGGTCGGGGCCTGGGGAGGGGAGGCAGGTTTATGAACAAGTGTGTAATGTGCTTGAAACGGTGGCATCGAGCTCTGGTTGCCTGATCAGTGTCCTTGCGAGAGATGGGCATTGTCCTAGCTGTGTAGCCTGAGGGACGCCGCCTCTCAGTTTGTGTGTAAGATGGAGTACGAACAATACTGCTGTTGGAGAACGAAGTAGCGCTTATGTGAGGTGTGTGGCTCAAAGCTCGGCAGCCCACAAACGCTGGACCAGTGTTGACTGTGTTGTCTGCAATGGAGAGGTCTGCAGCTCCCCCTGGCCAGCAGTAGCAGCCCTGCAAGGATTTGCCTCTCATGTGTGCAGCCCAGCACTAGCCTGTGACTGTCTCCTGCAACCAGTACCCTGTCCTTGGGGTCATCTCCAGGAGTGGTTCCATTCTGTCTCATGGAAACCCGGGCTGATTACTTCCCATATGAAAAATGCCTCTTGGACAGCTTGAGGCCAGGGGCGTGAGCCCCCCTCCTGACTCCATCGTGGGAGTAAATGCTCCACTGTGGGCAGATCGTGCCTGTGGTGACCTCCGGTGTTCACGGTGACTTTTGATATTCCAGAAATGTTTGAACCAGGACTGGCCCCGTAACTTAGCCAGGAAAGGTGCTCACTGCATATGCCTGGCAATCTAGGTTCAACCCCTGGAACACGTGTAAAGGTGGAAAGCGGGAATTGATTCCCTAAAGTTGTCCTCCTGTGGTGTGCTAACTAACACACGTGCATGCGCGCACACACACTAGAAATGTTCACATCGGTGAGCAGGTGAAGAGCTCGTCTCCCATCATAGTACTTAGGGCACCCTAGCCCTTAATGACCAGTTCCTCTGTGACACTGTGGTTTTATCCTCCCTCTTGGCAGGAGACAACAGAACCCTGTTTTATTGGTGAGAAAACTGAGGCCCAGATGGGGAACTAGTGTCTGAGCCCGGAATACAGCCCTCGTCTCCCCACCACTAAAAGTCCCTCTCCTGGGTGCAGTGTGAAACGAAGGGCTTTGTAGGACAGTGGTTCTCAACCTGTGGGGTGCTACCCTTTGGAGTCTAATGACCCTTTCACAGGGGTCACCTAAGACCATCAGAAAACATGAGCGTTTCCATTACGATTAATAACAGTAGCAAAATTACAGTTACGAAGTAGCAACGAACATAACATTATGGTTAGGGGTCAGCATGAGGAACTGTATTAAAGGGTTGCAGCAGGGCTGGAGAGATGGCTCAGTGGTTAAGAGCACTGGCTGCTCTTCCAAAGGTCCTGAGTTCAATTCCCAGCAACCACATGGTGGCTCACAACCATCTGTAATGAGATCTGGCGCCCTCCTCTGGCGTGTGGGCATACATGGAGGCAGAATGTTGTATGCATAATAAATAAATCTTTAAAAAAAAATGAAGGGTTGCAGCGTTAGGAAGGTTGAGAACCACTAGGAGTCTTCTGCTCCTACGTCATCATCTATGGGGGGGCAGCGGTGGCAGCAAGAGCTGAACTCAACTTCAATGCATGGTGGTATCATAAAACTTGAAAACAACCCTGACATTTGAGGTCCTGGGTTTGGTCTGCTGAGCCCGCTTTTGACGGGCCTTTGACGATCCTTGGAGCCACCAGGCCCCGTAGGACCAGCCTCCCACATGGCTACGGAGGCAGAGCAGAGGCCTTCTCCAGCCCACACTAAAGCCGAATCCCATTGCAGGGAGGGCCTGGGTCAGGAGTCTGCTTCAGAGATTCCTGTGTTTCAACAGACACCTCATTATCCCAGCCAGCCTCTGTAATCATACAGGCCCACGCCCAGCAGTCATCCTAGGCCAGGAAATCACTCCCTCCCCTCCCCCGCCTTCCGCCCAGGGCGCCCTGAACCTCGGTGTCTGCAGCCACTCTTCAGTGGCCCTCTTGCCTGCCTAACGGTTTTCTCTCCTGCTTCTCCTTGCTCTCTCGGGGACTCGGAAGTGTGGCTCACCAGCTGGACTGAGTCTCCCAAGAAGGACGTGACAGGTACTGCCTTGCGTGCATGCGTGTGAACATGTGTCCCAGCGTGTGTGCCGAGGAGGCAGGCTTCTGTGCGCATGCTTCCCTTGGTCTGCATGCGGGGCTTTTCCACTCCCGGGCCTTCTGCCTGCTGGGAGAAGGCCCCTTTGTCGTCCCCAGATGAGCCATGGAGCCTTGGAGCGTGGTGAGAGTGAGAACGTGCTGGCCCAGTGCCTGTGGCTTCGAATCCCAGCTCGGCCATGCCCTGCCTGTGCTCCCCTGGGTGTGTGGGGTGGGGGGTTGCATAACCTTCCCAAGGGCATGTGATGCCATCTCAGGACGTTTCTGTTCCAGGATGATGGCGGGCTGCTGTCATTTTGGGCCTTATCACGTTGATCATCCCAGGGGAATAGCCAAAAATGAGCCATCTCTCATCTGAGGCAGAGAGTCCCTGACACCTTCCAGAGATCTCTCAGGGGAGTTAGAGATCTGGAGAGCAGGAGGTTCCTTGCTGTGCATGTGATAAGGTGGATCATAGCTCTAGATCCTAGTAGTTGAGAGCGTGGGATCACCCCAAGGCTTTTAGCTGCCCACGAGGTACCCTTCAGGGCCTGGGGACTTAGCCTTTATCTGGTTCATCTGGGTAGAGGGTCAGGGTCTTGGTTTTTAGCCTTGTTGCAAAAGCCATGAACAGCAGGACTATAGTGCTTAGAGTAAGTGGTGGGAGAGCGGTGGTATTTCCAGAAGAGTCTTCCAAGGGGTCCCTTCTTTCTTAGAGCAAACATTAAAGCTGAAGGGGTGGGGCGACACCACAGGCAGGGCTGCAGGGAGAAGAGGTCTTGGGCCAGTTGCAGGGTTACAGCCCAAGCTCTATTCCCCTGCCTCCCGCCACTGCTGTTGGCAGGGAAGGGGATATTGAGCATCCTGGGAGAGAGGCCAGGCGAGAAGGCAGTGGGGGAGGTCCCCCTTCCCTCCTGGTCATCCTTATGGTGTTCCCTATGATGCCGGCCTGTGCCTGAGCTAATCATTGGGCTCCTGTCCCTTTTTCCCCTCTGCTCACGCCAGGGAGCCCGAGCCCACTTGGCCCACAGCAATGCATTCTATTCACCAAACGTATAGCTGAGAGGCCAATAGGCCCAGTGCAGCCTGGGAAGAACCAGCTGCAAGCGGCCGTTGGGCCTTGGTGGGATGCCCAGGGTTGGGAGGGTTATGGGGAACCTGGGGCTGAGCTCCCACGGGGCCTGGCCAACTGAGAGTCCAAGGCTAGGGTCTCTCACAACCTTGGTTTCCCTTCTGGAATGCTGGGGGAATTCTGTCAAACAGGAAACACAGGGGTGATGGCCTGATGCCAGAGATTCTAATAGATTGGGGTCCTGGGGCTGCTTAACCTGGCAGCCAACCCAGAGTGACCTGGGGGGTTCTGAGCTGGCTCTCTCCTGCTGGTAAGCCCCTGCCTGCCTGGAGGCGGGTCTAGGAGAGGTATATTGCAGGGATGTAGCTTTAGGCTTTCCTCTGCACCCTCCCGGGGCAGTGGCTTTTGCCATGAGCTGCCCCTGGTAGTGAGGTCTTTGGTTCCTCCGTCTCCCATGCTCTGCTCTCTAAGCAGCTGTTTGTACTTTGCTCAGGACTTTAGGCCCTGTGACTTCAATACAGATGCAGAACAGCCCCTGAGATACTGTTCCTGTTCACAGATGAGGAGGCCAAAGTCGGGAAGGTTAAGTGTCCTCCCCAAGGTCACAGAGCAAGCAAGGGCAAGACTGGACTGGACCCTGACTCTAAGCTTTTGCCTTTTGAGTGCCAGGCAATGGTTGGGTCTAGGCCGTGTCTTGTGGCACCCGTATCAGGTCTGAAGTACGTGGTCTGGTTGGGAAACCATTCCCAACCAAAAGCCCAGGAGAGAACAAGACGCTCTGTGATAGGATTGCTAAGGGAGTCTCCTAGAGAGGCAGAAGGGCTTGGGTAGAATTGAGAGCAATAAAAGAGAAGGGAATGCATGTGGACAGGGGGTAGGGGGAAGGGCCTAAAGGAGCTGCTGAAGAAGAATGTACACAGGGCCATCATGGGTGCTTAATATTCCGTGGAATGATGGAGGAGTAGCAGGGGAGCACCAACCACAGGAAAAGGCTGGGCTCAGATCTGCCTATTATCCTATAAGTAATGAGGAGCCATTGAAGGTATGGGAGCTGGGCAATGACTTGGCAGAGGCCTAGTTTAGAAGCTTAAGTTGACAAAGGAAATCCCAAAGTTCTATGCAGATGGTAATGGGAGGAACAGGCAAGGCAGGAGCAGGGCAGCAGTCCTCAGGACCCTAGCAGGCCCAACCAGGGACTCCTCTCCTGTAAAGGCCCATTCTAACCCAGGAAACAGTGCTCTCTAGAAGGATCCACCCCTCTCACTCTGCCAAGTACAAGGAGGCTCCCCCTCCTCCCGCAGACTCCTCCAGACCCCAATTTTCCAGGCCTTGCCTGCCTTGGAGGGGATCCAGAGCTGCCTCTCCAGATGACATCACCAAACAGTTTCTCATCTGGATACCTGTTCCTAGTGCCTGCAGCCATGCCGACACCCGCAAGAGGCAGATGCCAGAGGGAGGAACCGGGAGAGAAGGGGGAGAGAGAATCCCACAGCTGTCTCCAGGAAGAGTGGCAGCCTGCCTGCACTGTGAGACCCTGGAGAAGGGTCCCTTCACTTTGCCTTCCCAAGTCCCAGAATGCTAGCCATTAGAGGCTCCAGCCAACTTTCCAGGCAGACTTCAGATGAGGGCTGTGGGTGTGTAGATTTTCTCCGCTTTGAAATCTTGCCTCGGGTTTTTCTTGGCCTGGAAATGAGTTGATATCTGTCGTCTGACGGGCACCTCATCTTTGTCCTCACTACTTTGTCATCTGGCCACAGACCTGGAGGAACTTGCTCCTTATTGCCTCAGCTTCACGTCACCTTTGCCCCACTTCCAGTTCAGTCATTTAGTGTCCCCCTCTTGGGGAGGTAAGCCCCTTCCACATAACAGCCACACCATCCGTCTGGAAGTACTTTGACTTCACACTCAGTGCTACCACTAAAGGACATACGCGCTAGAGATGACCGTTTGAATCTATAAAATCCCAAACTCCAGTGTGACCGGGTGTGCCGTGGTCCAGGGGTGCCGTGAGGCAGGGTCCTTCCTAGACACTAAGTAAGCATCAATGGCACCTGTAGGCTGTGTGTGATGCAGGGGTTAGTATGTGCTTGGTGGCATGGGACAGCTAAGTGACCTTAGGGAATCTGCTTCTTCTTGAGACATTCAGTTTACTGTGTGTAACATGGGGCTCTGTGGAGCCCTCGGTGGAGGTTTCTGTGAGGACCAAGCATGACGCTGCTTCGCTTCTGACTGAGAAGGGTCCTGATGGAGGCTTGCATGTAATTGTTGTTCTCAGGACTTAACTCCCACCCGTGTCCCCCATTTTGGTCTTGTATTCTCTCCTGTTTTTCACATCTAAGGTCCCCTTGGTGGCTGGTCCTTTTCTGGTTTGTGCTGCAGAGGCACTGATAACCCCCCAGGGCACAGTGGGAGGCCATCTGTCGCCCAGTGCCCAGTCTGTCTAGCTGGTGCAGAAGCTGGTAACATCTGCATACAGATGCTGGGCTTCCCAGCTGTTGGTTGTGTTTCTGCCTGAAATGCAATTCTGACTTTTCAGGGGTTCCCTGGGGGCTTGCATGTGTGAGTTCATGGGGCACACCTCAGCTTCTGAGTCTCCCGAAGGTTCTGTCTGGGGCTGCAAAGCCCACATTATGTGGGAGAAAAGTTTCTTTCTCTTTCCAGGAGAATAAACTTCTTTGACTCCCCCAGAGTTCTCTGGCCACAGACCCTGACAGCGCCTTCTTCACACAGGACCCAGAGGTCTAAGCATTGCGTCTCACTTTTGGCTGCATATCTGAACCGTGGGACAGGATGGGGTATGCAAAATGAGTCATGCCGAGGCCCCACCCACTAAAGCTGGCCCTCTGAAGCCTGGGCATCAGAGTGAAGGGGTTTAAAAGCTGCTGGGATAAGTCTCCATTCCTAAGTGGAGGGTCGTTGTGTCGGAAGGACAGTGTGTGTGGAAATAAACGAGTGTTCTGTAATTAGCAGAGAGGTGGACTTGCACCATTGAAACAACCGTAAGTGGTTTGACTTTCTCTGTATGAGCTGTGGGAACTGCATGCGTCTCCTGTCCTCTCTAAGCCTCTCATTAATCTGGGAATTAAAGGGGAAGGGAGAGGGGGTGAATCGAGCCGTACCTGCCCAGCTTGTGAGTCAGACCCCGTCATATTGAGGGAATGTGTCTGGGGCTGAGGCACACCACAGCAGACAGGAAACGCTGGATTAGCTCTTTGGCCACACAATTGTGTGGTACCTTGCTAGGGTTTTGCATTTGTTTTAGTTTTGGAACAGGGGTCTTGACCAGCAACCCAGGCTGACCTTGAACTCCTGCTTCAGCCACTGGTGTGGGAAGGACAAGCTGACTGACCAGCGTGGTATAAGAAATGTTCTAGAATTCTCTTGTGGGTGGAGAGGTCTGGGAAGTCTTCCTGAAAGAGGTGGTTAGTCATTTTCTGCCTGTGGAATCGTTGAAGGCTAGCAGGGCATCCTGTCTTTGAGTGTATCCACGGTGACAGCCGAAGGGCAGAGATTTGACAACCATATCATGATATCCAGCCATATACCATTTAAGCTGCGATGGACACCCTGTCTGTCCACTTTCTCGCCCCGTGCTTGTTTCATGAACGTCACGCTGGTTCAGTAGCCAAATAGGACAAAGAACTGACTTGCTTCTGGAAGCGGGGCTCACCTACCCTCTCTCGGATATACCCCCACCTTTGACTCTGAGGCTCTTGAAACTGCCCAGAGCCTCAAGGCAAGGGGAACCAGTCACCCTCTGCTGGTTGAGATGGCGGCGAGGCCCAGGAAAGCTCCTCCGGAGAGCCTAACACTGCTGTCTGCCTGGCCCTCTGAGAGCCAGGAGGACAGGAATGGAGCCGAACTTGAGGAAAAGTTGGCGGGGGTGGGAGGATGGGGGGATGGGGGGTGGGCTCAGCTCGCCAGCACTGGCTCTGGGACTTTCTTCTTGGGTTTCAAGTAAACAGTCTGGGCCCTCCTCCCATCCCCTGCCTCCACCCCCAGCTCCTCATTCGACGGGTCTCATGTGTTTCTATTTAAGGGTTGCAAGTAAGCCCTAGTGATTGGCGGCCTCAAACCCTCTTGACTCTTTGCTGGACCTAGGCTGTGGAGAAGTTCTCTCCCTCTCCCTCCTGAGGGGATCCCTACTGCCTTTTCTCTCTGGGTTTACAGGCTGGGGTAGAGGCAGCAGGCCTCCTGGGCCTCCCCTTCGCCTCCCTTCTTTCTCTCTTCTGTGCTCTGGCCTCAGCCTTTATGGGCCGCCCACTGTGCTCTTGGGGCCCTCCTCTCACACCCCAGCCAGCACAAGAGTCTGGAGAGAGGGGAGGCCCCAGGCCTCTCTGCAGACTCCCCCATGCCGGGCTGTGACTAACTTCACAGGCAGCAGCAGGCTTTTCCCTCAATTTCCTTGTCTTCCATCTCTGCCTGCCTCTGCCTCTCTCCACCCCCTTCTCCTCCCCCGTCCCCCGGCTCCCCATGTCCCCCGGTCCCCGCGGTGCAGCGGGCCGGTGTGGGGCCTTGCTATATGGCCTGTCCTTGGGGTCCAGCAAGCTGCGAGCCCTGGCTACGGGCTGCTCCTCGGTGCAACGCTGGCAACCGAGCAGCCTCCCTCGAGGGCGATGGACAGAGGGCGCCCCGGACGCGGGGCCACGGCCGGCCGCTGGCTCACCGCATGCTTTCTGCCCTCGCCAGGTGCCGACACCAACGCCGAGCCCATGATCCTGGAACAGTACGTGGTGGTGTCCAACTATAAGAAACAAGAGAACTCGGAGCTGAGTCTCCAGGCCGGGGAGGTGGTAGATGTCATCGAGAAGAACGAAAGTGGTGAGTGCCTGGCCTTCGGCTGTCCACTCCTGGTTCCAGCCTGGCTCCTGGGCCCTGCTGGGTTTTTGTTCCTTTCCTCCTCCCCCACCTCTGCAGCTATACGTTATTTCCATCTGGCAGGGAGAGGGCCGAGAAGTCTGAAGTTTCCCTGTTGGTTTGGGCTGCAGGCCAGCAGTTTGCCTGGTGGTGGAAGAATGTCTCCCTGGCTTGAGGCTAATTAGCCAGCTTGTGCTAACGCAAGGCCAAGGTGGCAGCTGAAGCATCCATGCTCTATTCAGGGACCCTGTGCCATCTGAGGCCCAGAGGAGATGGTAGTTCTAGTTCCCAATGACAGCTTCCCCAGTTGAGCTGTCTGCCAGGATCCAGACAGAAGTGGGAGGACCCAGTCTGCTGGTGGAGAAGACAAGCCATGACAATGGGTTCCAGGGTCCCCAGACCTCTGGCAAGATGTCTGAGGAAGGGCCGGGCCTGCGGGAGGTTGGCTCGTGTCTGGGCAGTGAGTGGGTAGTGAGCTGGCTGCCCCCTGCTGAGCTGGAAGCTACCAGGACCAAGGAAGAGGGCCCAAGCACTGGATAAAGCCAGGTCCTGGAGCCAGGAGAGGTCCTGCAGCAGCCACTGTGTCGTTAGGAACTGACATGGGGAACAAGCCATGGCTTCCCAGGGTTCCGGAGTTCTTGCAGAGTGGACCAAAGTCCCTTGGTATCCTTGGCAAGAAAAGATACAGCAGATGGAGGAGAGAAGGCTCAAGTCTGTCAGTCCCGTTGCAGTTCCTGTGGCCCCTGAAGGGCTGAAAGGTCCTTGGAACTACGGCATCCCCTGCAGATTGAAAGCCCCTGCCAGGGCTTGAGAGGATTCAGGATCTTGTTTTGGTTTCAGTTTCGGTTTGCTGGGGGCAGGCCTTGGGCGTAGGTGTACCCCTGGGTCGCATTTGTGGGCCCTTCAAAAGGGAAGCCCGATCGTCTTCTCTGTTCTTTCTGACATTTTAAAAGGAAAGCAGTTCAGCGGCTCACTGTGCCCATTCCGTAGATAGGATGACTGAGACAGAGAGAGCTGGGTGAAAACAAGTATCCTGAGGTCAAAAAAACGGTGCTCCCAAACTTCTGAATGATGATGCCTCTAGGTGGCTGCAGAGAAGCTAAAAGAAATCTCATTGGACGTTCTAGGGGACCCAACTCCCGAGCACAGGGCTGTGATGTGAATATAGATTGGACTCCCCAACCTGAGTCTGCTCTTCCTGATCATTTACCCTCCCTGAGAACTCAGGCTCTGTCCTTGTGCATGGGTGGTTGGCACGGACATGGCACGCATGACAGAACATGACCTGGTATCAGACCTGGATTCCAGGTGACCACCGCCCTGGTTCCCTTCCTGTGCAACTTTGCCATGTCATGCTATTGTCTTGCGGGGATGGCTCTGGGAACCCCAAGGCCGCGAGGCCCCATGAGGGGTCTGTCAGATCTCTCACCATAGAATGGGAGGCAACAGGGGGAGGAAAGTTTGTTCTCTTAGTAGCCTGCTCCTCGTAAAGGCAGGAGATCGCTTTTGAATGCAAGGTCAGTTCTTTCAAGAAGGGCTTCCCTGGGGACTGCCCGCTGCCACATGTACCTGCCACACCACCACCTCTGTGTGACCCAGAGTAGCAGGAGGTCGTGAGCCTCCGAGCCTGGGGTCAGTCAGCCATTGGCCAGCAAGAGTCCTGGTACATGATTCCAGGCTGAGCGTGGTGGCACATGTCTTTAATCCTAGCACTCAAGGGGCAGATGTGGACACTGTCTGGAATTTGAGGCCACCCAAGGCTAAATAGTCTCAAAAAAATAATAAAATAAATAAAAATTAGAAAGGACTCTGGGGACTCACTTACCTTTCCTCTTTCCTTCACGTATCTGTAACCTTTAGAGTACATGGACTCTTACCAAAGGGTGAAGGAAGGAGAACTCGGAGATGTGCGTCTGTGTTAGGCTTAGAAACCTGCTTTCCTGCATAGTTCCTTTGGCTGTAAAGGGGCCTCAGCTTGCCCCTGCCACTTATCTCTGAGCGGCCCTGTCTATCCCAGGGACCCCATAAGAGCGCTGGGTAACTTCAGGTCCCGTTACTTCGCCAGGCCTTACCTATTCCTTCTGTAACATGGCATAGTCTTGTGGGTGCTTGGAGTGGATGCTGCCTTGTGTCTAAATGTCTGTTATTTGTGGCTGTTCTCATGGTTTGTGGAGAGAGCTGCGTAGCTGCACGTGTGTCTGAACAAGGGTCTGGAGTACTGTGGCTACCTGTCTGTCTGTCCATCCATCTGAAGTCAGGATGGCTGGGATGGACAGGGTAAAGAGGAGGAAACTAGATGGGCAGACTTCAGCTCCTGGGAGGCTGGACCGTGGGGGCACTGTAGGTGAGCCGTGTGCATCCTGGGAGGTGGTTTTGGAAGGAGTGGTGAGTGAGGCTTCAGAACTCTGGAACAAAGACCCAATTGTGGTGCTTTTGACCTGGGACACGGTGAGCGTGTTGCAACATTTCACTGGCGTTGTTGGGCTGCAGCCCCAGGGAGTACCATCCCCCAGGCCTGCCGGTGTGTCCTTTCACTTAGCTGGGAGCCATTCAGGTGGAGGGTCCATGGAGAGACCTAGAAACCTCTGGCTCTGCCTGATTGTCAAAGACCCCCTGTGACCTGGACCACAGCCACAAGCTAATGTGGGGTGTGGACATGCCAGCAGCCCTCTGTGACTGTCACCCCTCTAAGGAGATGTGCCCAGAAAGTCACCAAGTCCATAGACAGTAAGCGCCAGGCCCCAAACCCCACACTGAATAGGATAATTGTGCCAGCTTCATGGAATAATCCTACATGATAAAAGGCACTTTACCATTTGGTAGCTAATGTGACAGACGAAGAGTTTAGGTGATTCTTAGAATACAAAAGCTGAGGGCTCTCCCTCCGAAAAGGCCCCAGGGGAGGCTGAGATGCGCTGATCTTAAGTGTGGAGTGGGTAAAAGTGTGTGTCGGTGACAGTTGGATCAGAGTCTTGGGCTGATCAAGATGATCATCCGTGCTGAAAGATTTCCCTGGGATCCTGCTGGCACGTCGTTCATAGGTAGTGCGGTGTTGGTGATTAAATCGATCACTTGAACTTGGAGGCAAGTACCAGTTGAGACGATCTCAAGACGGTAATGGTTAAGGATAGCCCATCTCGAGGAGCACATATCTGGGCAGAAGTCCCAAGCACCTTTTTGATCAAACAGAAAGAACCCGTGTAGGAAGGCTCACCGTCCACTGGTCAATAGGACACATAGAGCAGAAAGATACGACATCCAGTAAGCCACTCCAGGGCCTGTAACAGCCACTGTTTCTTAATGGAAACTCCTTGACCCTTGACCCCTTATAGGACATTCTTGTGTCTCAAAGACCCATACCGGCTGCCCCTTCTGGCAGGCATGGCTGGCGTGACGTCCGCAGGCAGGTAACGTCAGGGTCCTGGTTGCTGGTTTCTGTGTTGTCGAAGCTGCCTGCAGCTTTTCAGGATTGTTTTCTTCCGAGACTGCAGCCAGGGCAGGGAGTGCGGAGATGAGTCAACAGAATTTCTCCTGCCTCAGCTTTCGTCCTCTGAGTCGGTTATCTCCTGGTATTGCCGTGATACTCTGAGGGTTCTGATGCTTCCCTGGAAACAAGGGGTTTTGAGCTCCCTTGTCCACCCAACTCGCTCTCCCCATGAGAAAGCTAAGCTTGGGATGCTTTACCCTCCAAGCCAGTGCTTTAGTCCAGTTGATCTGTGACTAAACGCTGGAAAGTCCTCTAGCTTTTTCCGGAGATGATTGAAAGACTATGGGAAAATCTCATGGAAGCTGAGAGAGACACATGAATCCCAGCCTTCGGGAGGCTGGGACTGGGAAACCTCGCTCTTCCCTTTTTTTGGCTGTCTCTGCCGTACCCCCCTCAGAGTGTGTGTGTGGAGGGTCACATGGCATTCATGTGGGGGTCGGAGCATCAGTTTCCCCAAACAAAACTGGTTTGTTTTCTGCTTCCACTGGGAATTCTGGGAATCAGGTGTCAGACTCAGGTGGTCCAGCCTATAGAACAGAGACTTTAACTTATTCTTGCCAGCTAGAAGGCAGGTTTTAAAGAAGAGAGGTGTTAGGGTAAGGGGTACTGCACAACATGGTATCTGTAACCATTTTACTTGGGAGGCTGTGTATGGAAGCAGAGAGGGCCAAGAATCTAGAATTCAAGTACTGGGTTTCAGATGTTGCTCTGTGGTGGAGTACTTCCTTGGCATGCTCAAAGCCTGAATTTTACCCCAGCACTGTAGAAAGGGAGGGAGGGAGGCAGGGAGGCAGGGAGGAAGGAAGGAAGGAAGGAAGGAAGGAAGGAAGGAAGGAAGGAAGGAACGAACCCAGTGCTACCCTGACATTAGAAATAAACAATTTGCTAAAAAATTTTTTTTGAAACTTACTTATTTTATTTTGTGTATCTCAGTGTTCGCCTGCACATATGTATGAGCATCACACACATGCCTGGTACCTGCAGAGGTCAGACGAGAACATCGAATCCCCTAGAGCTTGAGTTACAGATGGTATATGGGTGCTGGGAACTGAACCCAGGTCTTCTGTAAGAGCAACTTGTGCCGTTACCTGCTGAGCCGTCTCTCTAGCCCTTCAGTTTTCTTTTTCCAGAATAAAAGGTGGCAGTGGTATGTACCACACAGACTTTATAAAGGTGGAACATACTGTACAGGGTGCTCATTAATTACTCCCTGTTATTTCATGACGTTATAGTACTTCCTTTGTCCCAGGCACTGTGATAATTGTTTATACACCCATAATGTCTCTGTCTAATGGGTGTGGAAATTCTAGCACTTAAGATGAGGGCTGTATTGAGAAGATGGGGTGGCTTTAATTTTTTGACTTACATTTATTTCTTAGGGTTGCAGGGGCGTTCATGCCACAGCATGCATGCAGAGACTGGAGGACAACACACGGGAGTTGGTTCTCTCCTACTGTGTGGGCCCTGGAGATGACAC